ACTTCACCACCATGCTGCCTTGACTGAAAACCTTGCTCTGTAATTAGGTTTTGGACATCTTTTAGAAAGTTTGTGTTGGTAGTATAAAGCCATTCTCCTCCATCACACTGAGCACAGGAGTCCCTCAGGGATGTGTGCTCAGTCCTTTGCTCTTCACTCTGCTGATATTACCATGACTGTAAATTCAGGATAAACCAGCTCATTAAATGCTAATAACACAACAGTTTTGAATGATGTTGAAACATTTTACAGAGGTGAGGTGGAGGAGTTAGTGAGCTGTTGTGGAAACAACACACTTTCTATTACAGTCAAAGCTAAATGCTAATTTTGGAAAGAAAGAAAACTATGCGGGAAGAAGAAAGAAGAATACGGGAAATATATCCATCTAGTTCAACAAAAAGCAAAATGACACAAAAGGCAAAGTGAATTGGAAATTAGTTATTTCCCCTGATTCCATCATTCAGCTGCTCTCCTGCAGGAGTTGCCACAGTGAGTGAACTGGTAAGAAAGATTTGGCAATTGTTTTAAACCTGGCACAAACCAGGCTCAAACTGGCAGCCCCAGCATTACAAGGCACTTAACCACTGCGCTATACTGCAGACCTCCATGTTCCCTGTTTTTATAGTTTTAGTTAAAATACCATACACAAAATTTACACTGTAGAACCCCAACATGGTTATAAATGGTTCCTAACTCTTTTTTTATATACAGGTAAGTTATTTTATTTTTCTAAATTGATTTATCTGATGCAAAACAGTCAAACAACGCATTTATCTGCTGATCTGATTTTAAAGTGCAAATCACATACAATTTTTATTAGATAAACAATTTACTTTTAAAATGTCCATCACAAGTTTCTCATTCTCCTGCAGATCTATAGCGATAATATTTTGCACTCCATACTTCCAGGAATGAATACACAATTGAATGTTGCTGAAAAAGGGTCCGTTAGAATTAATGAAGAAAATGTCTCTACTATCACATAATGACTGCCCCCATTGCTACAAAAACCAACGATGAGGGGCCGGGGGAGAAAAAAAAGAATTAATTAAAGGTTTCAACCATTTTTTTATTATTTTTAACCAAGCCATTACACTTTGATTTATAGGGATTTCAAAGAAAATAGTTCCCTTTATTTGTAAAACAATGTAAAATGATGCAATTCCTACCTCTAAGAAGTCAAAGTTGCAGTCTGGGTGTTGTTCTATACTTAAAGTACCAAATGCAAAGGTAATAAGAAGGGCAGGTTCCACTGCAACTCTCCAGTAGCAGTCCCTGCCAGGTGGGTAGTTGCCAGGGTAACCAGGTGAGTTTATGTTGCCATAGGAAGCACTGAGTTCACCACCACATACTGAAACATAGAAGTAGAAATGTTGAGAATAAATTAACAATTTGATTATGTCAGCCTTCTGGTTGATGAGTAAGAGACTGTATAATTTCATAAAGAAATTGTAACACCCCCACCAACCCTGAATAGATGAAGATGTTTCTCTTCCCATCCAGCTAATTTTCTCAATTAAAAATTGGAGGGTGTTGAGGTTCAACCTGTAAACTGCTTAAGATGCTTACCAGTAAATGTTCTTAATGAGTTTATGCAGCTAAATTCACAGGTTATGCTGTGTTGTTTATTTGTCATATGCAGGTTAACACAAGGTGTTACGTGCAGATTAATGTCACTCCCCTCCCTCATGAACGTTGGTAGGATCCTTGTTTGCTTGGCTCATGCAAGAGATGTTTTGGTCTCGTGCACGAAGGTGTGAATTAGAATTAAAATTATTGTGTAGTAACACTTTGTAGTAAGTTTTAAAAAGTGGAAATCAAAAACTTCAATTGTCGTCTCAAAACATATTTTATCTCTGTCTTAAATATGAACATATATTTTCAAAAAGGTGGCTTTTATTCTTGAGACATGGGTTTAAAATAAATTTAAGAATAATTGTCAGCCTTTGAAGCTTGCTACATTTAGTTGCACAAATGGAGCATCTTGTGCAGTTCATAGCTTCATACTCTCCAGTTCTGATTTGAGAAAGCTTTCTGGAAAATAAAGGAAACATGTTTAACAACAGAATAAAAGTTGTTTGTTTTAATAAAACTTTTCAGATTTACCTAGATGACTGACAATCTACATCAGCATACTGATATATATTCTGTTTGTCTGTTTAAATGTAACTCTTAGCTGCTGGACTTTTATTTTATGTTTGTGCATGAAAGCAGTAATAACTTGTTTAACAAAAGGCTGAAGTTATTTAAATGAGGGATTTTTTTAAGTACTGTGCAGCTAATTAATTGTAAAAATGAATATTTTCCTGTGTAGCACTGTCACTTCCAGGTTATTTTTTATTGTATTACTTTAATTGCATTTCATGTTGCCATAATCTAGGGTTCAATAGGCATCTTCCATCCATCCATTCATTATCTTTACCCGTTTATTCCATTTTT